AAGATTTTAGAGAAGACGCTGATAATCGATATGGGGCGATAATTCTCTATGTTTGTGCAATCGCCACTTTTCAATATCGGAATCAATAGTGCGATTTTAAGAAGATCAGGATAGCCTCCAAAAGAAATACATAAGTTTATTAGGTACGCAATTGGTTCACATATAATATCAGTACATTCTTTGACAAGTTGGATAGAAACCTCATCATATCCGGTACTTTTTTAATAGACCTCTTCATTACAATTTTTTTTTGTGCGCATGCGTCAGTATCAGCTATCTTTTTCGTACTGTTTTTTGTAAACAACCATGTTAAAGAACCCGCAACTCATGTTTTAAAAATCATAATATAAATTGAAGTTTATTAATTGTAAAAAAAGTAAGAGAAAAATAAATTAGTAAGTAAAAACAATCAGAAAAAAAATTTTATACTCCATTATAATTATATTATCTGTACGAAAAGGAACAACAAAACGGTGTTCTTATGGAGTGTGTAACAGTGATACACGATACAAATCATTCAAAACCAACACATACTATTTTATAAATTTTCCAAAGCATTGTCTTGAATATCGCAAAAATAATAATCAAATCATCAAGCAAATTACATATTAAAGCATGTGCAAAATGTACAAAATGTGAATTATGGGTGAAAAAATGTGGCAGGAGTGACCGAGGCTTTAAATCAATTGATGATGTTACCAAGGATACTTATATTTGCTCACTACATTTCATTGGAGAAAGTGATCCAGCTGAACAAAACTCTGATCCTTTAAGCATAAGCTATCAGGAATTTCAACATACGTACATTATTCCTTATTGCATTTTTGACTGTAAATTTCATAAATTTCATATATATTATGTTTTATTAAATATTTCCCTCTGATAAAAATTACCAAACTTATTCAATTCAGTATTTACATATTTGTCAATTAATAATGTCATATCTATAGCCTCAAAATTTTAATGGCTTGATTTATTTATTAGTTCCATAAGTAATACTCTTGTCAACTGAAATATATTTTCAATTACATCAAATAAATTGACATTATTAATAAGAATAAAACTGTAAATACTATTTTTTTATATTTTTTTAGATAGTAAACAAATGCTGATACCTAACATCTCAATCAGCTCCCTTTTTTTCCTTTTTGCGGACGCCCATGACGTTTTAACCACCTTTTTAATTGTTCACAATTATGAGCCTCAACTGAATTATTAACAAGTAAAGCACCATCAATGATTTTTTCCAATAATTTATTTGTTTGTAAAGATAATATTCCTTGCCCAGCCATTGTAGATTAAAATAGTACGAATGTTTTGAATTACCGCCATTTCAATATGACAGTTACATTTGCGCTTGTCTTATGATGAAAAGGCATATTAGGTAGCGATTCCACAATATCTTTTACGTCTACCTCTGTGGTTGGTAATAAAAACATTGTTGTGTTGACATTTGGCATTGTAGTTCCCAACCTTAGATGACCTCCTCTGAAATGGAGTTTAATTTTTTTATCTATAATATTCGAGAAATATTCTCTGAATGTTTCTGCGACTTTTAGTTCATCAGTAATTAATTTATTATCATGATTTATAGAAATACTTTCGGTTTCTTTAATTTTAGAGGGCTGTTTGAGAATATTCCAAAGCCTTTTACTTTTGTTGATGGATTCATTGACTTTTTTCATAAAATGATTGATTGTTTCCTGACTTATTTTATTTTCAACAGCTTTCTTATTTATTTTATATGCATTGTTACAAACTTCAGAGTTCTCATGTTTCCTCAAACGATTCAAGTACTTGAGGTCATCAATTTTGCGCCTCAATGATGAAAGATTAAATTTTTCATTGATCTGCTTTTGGCATTTATATATTGAAACTTTGGGGAAGGCTGTCTCAAAGCACCAGTGAAAGTTTTCCCAAAAAACTACCAAATGCTTCGTTTATATTGGCAAAGTTGACAGATGCAAATTTATTGAGGAATTCCATATTACCCTCAAGAAGTTTTCGAAATTCACGTTTTTCGTTAGATTTGATAGTATTTGTAGATACATTGTTTACGTCTTTTGTCCAGGTAACAGTTTGTGAATAATGATCTGATATACCTAGATCAAAATTACCAACAAGCAAACTAGTGCTACAAGTGTTTGTCAAATTATAACCTATACTACTAACAGTTTCATGCTTGCCTAAATTTCCGATTCTTGTGTGTACTATTATGGGATCGTCCTATGTCTGGAATGTTCCATTTGAAAAAACTGAAAAAACTTCCCTAGTTATCCTAGTTATCCCTAGTTTTGTTCACCTCTCTTTAGAAAAAGCTCCATTCGGTGAACTTATGAAGACGAAATGAAAATACACTATCCTCAAGGATATTGGGTTGATATGTTTGGTATGTCACACATTTATTGGACACCCTGTATATTAGTAATAATTATTGAAACAAATTTATTGGACACCCTGTATATTAGCAATACTTATTGAAACATTGCTTTCTTTATTTGAGCCCGTGAATGAATAAATAAATCAAGTTTTTCAGTATTATCTTCAAAGAGTGACAAACTTTTTCTTCTAGCTGGAAAACTGTGGTCGACCTGCCATCATTACAAAGGATCTGAGTATGGTCATATACGGAAGAGACGCTCGTACAGGTCCTAGATCTCTGAAACACCTCTTTTCTGGAAACTACCGAAATGCTGAAGCTAACCGCTTATCCGGAGTCTACGAATTGCTGTTACGACGAGCCAGCGAAGCAGGTAGTCCAGGTAGATTCCCTTTAGTCTCCTTTCCCCCGCCTAAAATCTCTCTTCTGTACAAATCCTACAAATTTCCGAAATCGCTTATCCTCTCACTATTCGTGAATGTGCAAGTTAAGTATTATTCTTCACCTTTGTTTGTGAATGTTGCATGGACTGATTTGAATTTATTTGTATTTGAATATAGCTTGAGCAATCTCTGCGCCTTTATTCGTAGTGGATAAAATGGTAGTTTCAAAAGGATGTTTTGTAATCAAATCTTGTTGCCAGTATTTAATAATGACTGTACTGGTTGAAACCAAAACCCAAAGATTATATCACATAGATGGGTTTTCGTTAGGGAAGACGTCCACGCTCACAAATATAATATTGTTCAAAAGTTTAATCCGTTTTTATGAGATTACTTTAAACTAATATATCAGTGAATACTTATTCAATTTAATTGAAATAGGCGCAGTTTGAATCAGTACACTTTTGCAAACGTTACACAAGTCGATTACTTCCGTTAGCATAAAAATTATGTGCTCGGGATTCAAGGAAGTCGACAAAGGCCGTTTTTTCCTGGTCCTGATTGGCGAAGGTTCTACCGGTGAGTAAGTTATCAAAGTGCTTAAAAAGATAGTAGTCAGTTGGCTAATGGTCTGGGGAGTATGGTGGGTGAGGCATATCTTCGACGCTCAATTCGATTAATTTTTGGACGGTGATTTGTGAAACGTGCGGACGGGTGTCGTCGTGCAACAGGAGCGAAACTCTTTTACTGACCAGTCCGGCTGCTGCTGATGCAATTTCCAGTACATTTCATCAATTTCCTCACTACAGTACTCTGCTGTGATGGTTTTGCCGCTGGCCACAATACATTAATCATGTTTTTTTTTTTGGTGAATTTTCGCGCTTGGTTGGCTCTTCGGTGTCCAACCACTGTCCTAAATATCTCCTGTTGTCGTTAACGATCCACTTTTCATCACACGTGACGATCAAATCCAAAGAAGGATCGTTTTGGTTGCGCAAAAACAAAGAAGACCAGACCTTGATACGTGACAATTTCTGTCGATCGTTCAAATCGTGGGGCATCCACTTTTTGATCTTCTTAACTTCTCCAATACGCTTTAAACCATCAAAACCCGTATGGGAACTGATGCCCAGTTCGTTCGCCACCCCACGCAACGTTTGTGATGTGTCAGTCTCCACCAGCATCCTCAAATGCTTGCAAGAAACTGTATTCGAAGTAATCTGTTTAAAATCTGTTTTTTTTCTTATTAGTCAGTGGGCTCTGCTTGAAGACTGGCAGTAAACAATTCTAAAGAAATGAACTTCAAACGTCCAAGCCAGTCTCGATATACCTACACAGTAGGTTGAATGGACTGACGCCTTTTTTTTCAATTCATTAATTTAAATTAGATATTTGTTTTGAATATTTGAATCTGTCATCTACAACTGATGGAAGAATTTATTACAAAACATCCTTTATCATATTGGCACATGAAATAAATGAAAAGGCTTTTATTCAAATTGATTTAGTAATAGAAACATCGTTAAAGTTGTTTTTCATGTATCTTTATATGAAAATTTTTAGTGCTGCTGTATCTGAACATCCCAGGACGCCACTGCTTATTTTTGTCTCTTGAGTCCAGAAAAACCTTCCAAAATCGGTCATGTGACATGTAAATATTGATATTAAACGAAAGTAATGTTTCGTTAAGAAAATCAGAGTTTATGCGATGAACATGAAAAAGAATACGGACACATTTTTTATTTTGATCATCCAAGTACTCTAGATGTTCAACCATAGTTATCAAAAATAATTTTGAGCGCAATGATACATATCCTCAAATGCGATCGTGTTAACACTAGAAGAGATGTCGATGTCGCTTTAATACCGTGTATTTCAATTTGATACGTAAAATACCTGAATAATTTACACTTTTTTCATTCCTTTTCTTTCTGCCATTGATTGAAAAACAGACACCACCTCATAAGAATCACAGATAAATCCATTCGTTTGTTTCATGTCGTTTTGTGTTGGTGTTGTCTCGAAAATTTGTTGTTGCAATGTGTTTTTTATTTTTATTTTTCGAATACATATCTAATATGTCTGATGATTTTTAAAACAGTATTATCATCAAAACGAAAAAACTACTTTTCGGTGAGTAATTTAATTGAGAACTCATTATTTCTTGTGAAATTAAAACGATAAAATAGATGATAAGTTTTGTGGAAGGTATATTTATGAAAATTCATTGTTACAGAGCCCCGAAGGAGAATTTAATTAAATTCGAAACGTCGGCAAGAAAACAATTGTTTTTTTAAGAAAAAATTGATCCTGTTACCCAACCAAACCCTTTTTCAGAAAAAATATTGGATCGCTAACCTAGTTAACTGATTATTATTAATAATGCTGAAGTTTCATTTAATAGTAGTACATATAGTATAAATTGTTATTAGTGTTATTGAAACTATGCGTTTTATTTACTGCTGTGAAAAGCCTTCTCAACATTTGATAACTACTACTGAACAATTTCTTTCTGTGTATTTGTGTGTTTCAAATTATTCGCGAAAAAACATGAAAGCTCTGTATTTCAAAGATGACTAGCAAAACATCGAGTGTGCTACATTTTTGGAAAGGTAATTTTAAGCTTTATTGAAATACGCAGGAATATATAGGGTGTCTCATTGAAAAAAATAGTTTTCCATCAATAACAATTGATATCTCATTTGAAAAAATTAGTTTTTTACAGTTTACATGAAAAAACCTTAAAGTTCTGTATTTCAAAGATGACTCTAGCAAAACATCAACAATGCTACATTTTTGGAAAGGTAATTTTAAGCTTTATTNTATTTAAAAAAATTTAGGGGGTAGCTACCCTATGTAAGGGATGCATGTAATTTGGTTCATTCGAATGTAGAAATGTATCTCTCTTGAAAACAAAATCGACCTGTCTCAGGAATTTTGCAAGAAACATTCTGCTACAATTCTACTGAATTTATTCCAGTTAAAGGTACCACACTGTATATTAAGTAATGATTTTTTGATTTACAATAATTCTCCGATAATTTATTCACAACATAGCTGCTCAATGAAAGTAATCATGTTCGTCTCTCATAAATAATATTTATTCAATCTTGTGGATACTCGATACAGGCAATGAAAGTCATAGTGATAAACTTAAAAATTGAGAATAACACATAAACATTGAAATATTCACTTTTTCTGGCTCATCAGTGTTGCAAAATCATCTGTACTGTACAGAGGAACAAAGATTTTTTTTTAGTTTTCATAATGATTAAATGGTAGGTTGCGGAAAAGAGATGACAAGCTATTAAAATGTTTAGTGTCTATGTTTGAATGAGCCTTTTCATTTTATTGAGTGTATCTTTCAATCTAAGGCCCATTCCGAATAAACATTTCCAAATTTTAGGTGTCCAAAGACGTCAGAGAAGAGTACTGGATACTAGTTCAACATACGTTCGAGGAGAAGAAAATTTGCACGGTTGGAGACCAAGAGGAGATTCGCTTATATTTGATCATCAGTGGGAATTAGAAAAACTGACTCGCCTCGAGGAAGTGGAAAGAGTCAGGCATACTTTGCTGTTGAGAGAAAGGCTCGGGCTAGACAGGGCGTTGAACTACAACAAATACCGTCTGGAATATACAAAGAACGAGAAAGACGTTTGTAACATGGTTGCCAAGAACAATAATATTAACGCTATAGGTAAGTAAATGAGTTTATTTGAATAGACAAGTACAATAGGTTAAAATTTAGAAACCAGTAGTATTACTGCTTTATAGTTTTTGCAGAAAAAATTAAATAACTCAAGTTTGTTTTTTTATGTTTTGAATGCAAACAGGTGTGAATGAAAATTTATGAATATTTTGAAGGAACCGGTTGTAACATTTGTCAAATCTTTGAAATACTATATAGTTTTGCTCAACACGCTTTTTCCACAATGGCCATTGAATAATTGATCGTTGAAAACAGCAGTTTAATATTCCTCTTGGAGATGATCACTTGGTGATCGAAACACGTGTCGAGATGTGTCAAAGTGAAGTGTTCCTTGTTAGATATAAAGAGAATCCTGACCTAAGTAGGTGAGGATTAGAGTTAGGAATTAGTCTACTTCATCTACTTAAGGCACCAACTTGTTTGGTGTTGAGAAGGATGTTGCAGTTCTGGTATTTGAAAACAGTGCTTGTTTTGGATCATGGATAGTGTTATACATTTTCATCAAGTAACTGGTCAGGATATTATTAAAATACAATAAAATTTGAGAGAATGTTCCGTACTCAACAGATGTATTTATGAAATTTACAATAACATATCTGAAAACTTCACTATTTTAAAAATGTTGAGTTGAAGATATTATTTTCATTTAAACTATTCAACTCTGTCACAATTCAATAAGAAA